CAGGTGTATATCAGTATGTAGTGTCTCTACTTTAAAGAGTCCCTCTCCTGCTGATGTTCAGGTGTATATCAGTATGTAGTGTCTCTACTTTAAAGAGTCCTCTCCTGCTGATGTTCAGGTGTATATCAGTATGTAGTGTCTCTACTTTAAAGAGTCCTCTCCTGCTGATGTTCAGGTGTATATCAGTATGTAGTGTCTCTACATGTCTCCATGCTTTAATGTTCAAAAAGCTCTATTTTTTCTACTGCCTGTGCTGCAGCACCTCTTTTCACCCTCTGTCTGAAACCAGAGGCCAGTCTGCTCCGATTGGTTAGCTGACCGGCTCTGCTGTGGTCAACCTCTTAGAGATGTCTGTATGGATATCCCAAAACCGAATTAGCAATGTCAGTCAATAAAAAAAAGCAGATAGTTCATTTTCTTTCTTACTAAGTCAAACATCTGAAAACATTTGGCGTCAAATGATCCGGCACAATTTACCAACAATAGTCCGACTTAATTGATGCCAGAAGCCAAACACAAGGCTGTTGTGCTGACAAATGCTGTTGAAGTTACAAATTCATGCCTCCTTTTCATGTTTAATATGCAGGAAAAGTGGCCCCAAAGGAATACAGATTGAGCCATGGAGACGTGAACATATGCGTGACTAAAACCAAACAGCAGTTAGTGGATATATTTTGGCTTCAGTGCGTTACGGTCCGCTGAAGCTGCTGTCACCTGAAATAAGTAAGCTGTTGATACATGAGGCGCTTTCACACCGGAGTACTTTTCCCGTTTAGTTCCGATAGTTCCTGGGATTTTGCTTTCACACCAAAAAGAGAACTTAGTTCATGAGAACTTTTACCCCCTTTGTAGTGCCTGCTAGAGAGGTGGTACTTTCCTGGGGAGAAAGAAGTTCCAATTTCTGATTGGCTGGGCGAATTGCAAACCACGCCCCGTAAAACTCTTAAAAGTTTTGTGAAGCCGCCATTGTATTTGCTGGCATTAGCATTATTAGCATTAGCCCCGCGCACTAACAGAGAGAGAATAACTTATGGCAACAGAAAAAAAAAACATGGGAGCGGTGGAGATGAGGAGGGTGTCGGCGTTCTGGCGATTTACTCTGAAGGCTTCAGTAGAAGCTGCTGGGAGTCCCAGCAGCTTCTACTGAAGCCTTCCCCAACTCCGGAGACTTCCGGCCGGGGACTTCGGGTGGCAGTATACGCCGTGAAGTGGTTTGCGGCCTGCCAGTAAACCCAAAGCAGAAGAAGAAGAAGTGACGTCAGCGGCTTCATTTGCGTAATCTTCCCTCGGGGAACTTATTCCGGTGTGAACGCGATCTGCTCTCAGTTCCATGTAATGGGGGTACAAAGTGCTGGGAACTAAGTGCTGGGAACTAAGTACGGAAAGGTACTTGGTGTGAAAGCGGCTATGGAGATATATCTGTGAAAAGAACTAGCTCTTTGATTCGACGCCAGAACTGACACTGTGTGTGATGTTTTAAATAGCACTGAGTGGTTGTGCTGAAAATATCTCCCTGTGCTCTGATTATGTCAACATTTGACCTATTATCCATCACAAATATAACAAATAAAGACCTCAAAACATTCATAGCAGCATTGCTTTTTTAAGTACGTGTCTCAAAGTGTGCAATTTCTTCTTTTAAAAAAGGTCACACAATGTTAAAATCTTTCATTATTTACTGGCAAGCTTGCTTTTCTCTACAATATCTTCTCTTGCAATACTTAACTACAAGGCTTTAAGCGTAACAGCATGTCAATTATTTAAAGTTTTCTACGGTTAAGAAACACACGTTGCTCTTGTTTGAATATTGAAACGCTCGGAAAGTGATTTTAAGCACAAGACAAGACATGTTTTCTCCATTAAACATTACATTTTAAAACATTAAACAGCTACGTTTAAGGGAAATTAAAAAGATCAGTGCAGATAAACTATTAGCAATGGCAAAGATGAAGGAGGGTTGGATGAGATTTTCTGCAAAGGGCGAGTGTCTAAGTTATTTATTCATAGCAAATGGAAATAGATTAAGTTTTAATCATTTCCTTAGCTAGAATAGTGCGATTTTGGTGATCCGTACGCTGATGATTTGAGCTATTAATAATATGATTTTGTGCTTCTTGGCCTCCTAAATAAGTAATTGTTCATACATTTTCCATCCATGTTGACTTCTTGAGGGAAAACTGAAACTCTAAGATGTCAACATCAATTTTAACCAATAAAAAAGGTTTGGAAGTGAGAGTCAGAGCACAAATCTTGCCAAAAATAAGATCCAGTGCAAGAGGTTTTTCAAATAATCCTGTTGCACTGATGCATGGAGCAAGTCAGGACAGTTTGCTGCTTCTAAGAAAGAGTGTAAACCTAACCACACGCAGAATTCCCACAATCTTTACGACCCGCCATGGGCCTCCAACTTAAAAAAATGTCACTGAAAACCAACCTGAGAGCAGGCACATTTCTCTTTTGTTCAGATGTTTAGATTTTAGGTGGAAAGCACGGGTTGCTTGAAAAGAACAGGGTCACCTTTGTGTGTTTATCTTTTATCTCAGCATTTTAAAACAAAGTCAGCGCTGGGGATTAGCATCTAGGCTAGCAGAGGGAAATAGATGCCAAAAGTATGTGTGAGAAACGGTCTGGAGCAGAGGTTATGAAACACTCAAGGTCTAAACTCCACCTGGGGAACGAAGCACTCTGCCAGATTTCTCCGGATGTATTAAACAATACAGCTGTCCTCCTCGATCCACTCCAAACACAAGTCTCTGATAACTCATTCATCCTTTTTTCTGATCCTCCCTTGTTGCAGCAAATAAGAATCAGATGTTTTGCAGAGGAAGCTCAGAACCCCCTCCCATCCTGCTTTGCTGGGGAGGAGGGTTAAGCATCTGTGTAAAGCACACACACACACACACACACACACATACACAGGAAGTTTAACATTCCTCCTCACTTCCATCACTGGCCGGCAGCTGAGGCTGTGCAGCACAACATCTCTTCAATAAACCACAAACTGGGCTCGCTCCATAAAAGCTAAACACTCAGAAGTCATAAATAAGCAGGCTTTGGGAGAAAGGGATTACATGTAACGGGATTATCAGGATACGAAGAAAACTGTACTCCCTTACAGTTACATTAACACATCTGATTACCGTTACTTTCTGTGGATTACTAGCAGGATTACAATGTTAGTCACAACTTAAAAAGAGCGTCTTGTGTTTGTTATAAAAGGATCAGATGTTATCTCTTCTCTGTGAGCTGTTCTGTTCTGTAGGATAATACTTTAAGTGTGAATCTGCTTCATGGTTTTCACTTTCTTTGCTTCATTTGTTCCGTTTTTAATTCAGCAGGTGAACCCATATGTTCATAAAATAGTGTGTGTGAGCTTAACTGTGTGTTCAACTAAAACGGAGCATTTTCTGTCAGCTCGGATTTCTGCTTTTTTAAAAACTGTAGTATGTGCTCATGTGTTTCAGTGTTGGTGTATATAGGCTGCTGCCCTCGTACCAAAATGCAGATGTTCCCCGTAAAATGTTTAAGTGATGCCAGAAAACAATATTTCTGTTCGTGAAAAAACTGTATAATTAGACCGTGTCAAATAGAGCGTCAGACGGCAGAGACAGCTTTGTTTTCACAGAGCTCCGACGTCACGTTGTTGTTTACGTCCGCGGCGCCATCTTGTATACGGGCGTCACATTCTCGCCAGAATTGATATATCTTATATACAAGATCAGCGCCACAGTATTGCCCTCATACTGTATTTTTCTAGATAATCCCCAGCTTGATGAAAGGCAGCTTTTCCTATAAATACAATCAGTTTTTATCCTAAATATCTTGCAAGTCAAAAGGAATGGGAAGTAATCAGGTTACCTTTATATTGGGATACTCAGATTAGGTGACTAGTAATTGTAACAGACTACATTTTTAAAGTAACTCTCCCAACTCTGTATATAATGAACAGTTGTCATTAACTCTGGAAATTAATGCAGCAGGATTTGATGTTATCACTTGCTCTTGGCTCTGCTCTGCATCCTGGGACGGATTTTTCTCAAAAGCTCGCACCATGAGGCTTAAATGTATGAAGCGAGGCTTAAGGAGACATCCTCTGCTCTATAGCCTTTCCGTCAAAAAGCATGACTCGCCCCAAACAAAGACAAGAGCCCTTTCACCCCGCAAATTCCTTGACAACTGCTGCAAGCTTCCTGCTGGCATTTGATATGCTCCATTTCGTTCCCATGACCAGAAACTCCAGTCATGCTGAGGCTTTTTTTCGCTGAGCGGTTGAAGGCTCGTCGTCTCACTGACGCTCTGAAGCTTCTCTGTTCTCTGATGTGAAACGTCCCTTATTCTCTGCACCAGCGAGGAGTGTCACAGCGCGTCAAAACTGATTACATTTCTCAAGGCGTGCAGTAAACACTGTACATTTGTGCTGTGGGAGACTGTGTGTAATTAGCTTTAAGAGCCTAGGTTGCAAACTGTTCTTTAGTTTTATTCTTTTGGTTTGTTTTTACTGAAGTCTACATTAAGCTGTAGAGAGCTCAGTGGTGCTTTAAGTAAATAGGGACGACAACAACAGTCTGACAAAGGTTGTATGGTAAGAAATGCTCCAGCGTGAAATGTTAAAGCGTGTCAAAACTGATTGAATTTCTCTCTCGGCGTCACAAAGCGTGCAGTACAGTCTCTATGTAGCTGCAATTATAAAAGGTAAGACACACTGTGGGATATTCTGGGTAATTAGCTTTAAGTGGTAAGGATGCAAACCTTTCTTCAGTTTTCTTGCGATCTAGTCTTCATAAAACCTTAAGAGAGGTCTGCTGTCTTTTAAGTAAAAAAGGACTAGAACAATAGTCAGTAAAAGGGTCATATTGTCTGAGAAATGGCAGTTTTCCAGTGCTTCACTTCCACTTTGAAAGGCCATATTTACCAGTGACCTTGAACACACTCCTCGTATGAAACCAGAAACATCAACCCCCCCCTCCCCTCTTCCCCCTCGTCCACTTTCTCAAACTCACCGAGCTGACTCTGTTTTTCCCAGCATGTGGTTGCCAGGTTGGACAGTTCTCGGTATTTCTCCGCCAGTTGGAGTTTGCCGTTATTAAGTCGCGGTTGCTGGGCGAGACTCTCCTCCGCCACGCTCCGATTGGTCGACAGCAGCATCTCCCGGTCCACCTGCAGATCCTGAAACTAAAACAGAAGCACAAAGTCAGTGGATCAGTCTTTCAGGCATGTGGGACAGCTTTTAATTACATCATCAAATCATATGTGGGCATAGATCAGAGAGAGACTTTTATTTTGAAGGGGACAAGACACTTTTATTACCCTCGTTCTAATATCATTTTCTGTCAATAAAAAGGTTTTAATGCAGAATTTGTTGACTTTTCTACAGAATGTAATGTACTGTGTATTAAGGATGAGATAGTGCACTATTTTTAGATAGACACACGGTACAGAAATCCCATTTCCTGTCTAGTCTCGTTTGCTATTTTTACTGCTATCTTCATTGTTGGTTTTCTTATATCTTAATCTAACAGTTTGCTATCCCCATAATAAAGTCATATTGTTGTTTGGGAAGTTGTGATGGAAACTTCTTCCTGTCTTCTTATAGACACCCGCCTCCCGTTTGTGGTGTTGTGGAGGCACAGAGGGACATCCTGCAGGAGAGAGACCCTGAATGTTTTCTTTCTCTACAATTACAGGAAAGTTCTGCTGCAGTAAATAGCTGAAGGATAATCCCAGTGGTTCTTGTTTCCTTTACATTACATGTTACTTACATACTCAATACTGTGGACAATCCCCACAGGAGCAATTTGGGGTGAAGTGTCTCAGGGACACAACGACATGCTGACTGCAGAGGGGTTTGAACCTGTGACCCCCTGATCCCAACACCAACGCTCTATCCACTGCGCCACACCCCTTTAAAACACAGCGATGGACCCACTGCAGCTGCATGAGTTCAAACACCCTGAATCCCCCTGAGCATGGAGGAAATCACTGGACTGAGATTCTGTGCGTTTCTGATACAGTAAAAGTAGAGACACTACATACTGATATACACCTGAACATCAGCTGGAGAGGACTCTTTAAAGTAGAGACACTACATACTGATATACACCTGAACATCAGCAGGAGAGGACTCTTTAAAGTAGAGACACTACATACTGATATACACCTGAACATCAGCAGGAGAGGACTCTTTAAAGTAGAGACACTACATACTGATATACACCTGAACATCAGCAGGAGAGGACTCTTTAAAGTAGAGACACTACATACTGATATACACCTGAACATCAGCAGGAGAGGACTCTTTAAAGTAGAGACACTACATACTGATATACACCTGAACATCAGCTGGAGAGGACTTTTTAAAGTAGAGACACTACATACTGATATACACCTGAACATCAGCTGGAGAGGACTCTTTAAAGTAGAGACACTACATACTGATATACACCTGAACATCAGCTGGAGAGGACTCTTTAAAGTAGAGACACTACATACTGATATACACCTGAACATCAGCAGGAGAGGACTCTTTAAAGTAGAGACACTACATACTGATATACACCTGAACATCAGCAGGAGAGGACTCTTTAAAGTAGAGACACTACATACTGATATACACCTGAACATCAGCAGGAGAGGACTCTTTAAAGTAGAGACACTACATACTGATATACACCTGATCATCAGCAGGAGAGGACTCTTTAAAGTAGAGACACTACATACTGATATACACCTGAACATCAGCAGGAGAGGACTCTTTAAAGTAGAGACACTACATACTGATATACACCTGATCATCAGCAGGAGAGGACTCTTTAAAGTAGAGACACTACATACTGATATACACCTGAACATCAGCAGGAGAGGACTCTTTAAAGTAGAGACACTACATACTAGGGCTGTGCGATTATGGCAAAAATCATAATCACGATTATTTTGGTCAATAATTGATATCACGATTATTAAATACGATTATTCATTGACTTTGAAAACATCCATTTATTGAACTTTGAAATACAAATAATAATTTGAACAGTATCTTTTTAACTGTTGATTTCCCTGAACGTATAATTCAACTGAAAAACCAATACACAAATAAATAAATAAAATTATACATTTATATCTACATTTAAATAAATAATATCAAAATAATAAATACCAATAAACAAGATCAACAAATATGTTGGAGCGCACTTCAACAAGCTACTAAATATATATAAATATGATAAATACAAATAAATGAGATCAAATATGTTGCAGTGTCACAACCAAGCAAAGCAAAATAATCGTTTTTTTCGATTATGTTGTTTTCGTAATTGTGGCAGGTCAAAATCGTAATTGCGATTAAAATACGATTAATTGCACAGCCCTACTACATACTGATATACACCTGAACATCAGCAGGAGAGGACTCTTTAAAGTAGAGACACTACATACTGATATACACCTGAACATCAGCAGGAGAGGACTCTTTAAAGTAGAGACACTACATACTGATATACACCTGAACATCAGCAGGAGAGGACTCTTTAAAGTAGAGACACTACATACTGATATACACCTGAACATCAGCAGGAGAGGACTCTTTAAAGTAGAGACACTAAATACTGATATACACCTGAACATCAGCAGGAGAGGACTCTTTAAAGTAGAGACGCTACATACTGATATACACCTGAACATCAGCAGGAGAGGACTCTTTAAAGTAGAGACACTAAATACTGATATACACCTGAACATCAGCAGGAGAGGACTCTTTAAAGTAGAGACGCTACATACTGATATACACCTGAACATCAGCAGGAGAGGACTCTTTAAAGTCTCCTCAGGATTCATTTAGATATTTTCCATGCTAACAAACATTTTTAGCAAATGGGAGTTGATATTGACACGATTTGAAGATTTTTCGAGCTCTGTGTTGCCAGATCTTGTAACACTTTCCTGGTCTCTAACAAAAATTATTTAATTCCGATTTGTCCTTTTGAAAAATGCAATGTTAGTGCCAGAATATTTTGAAAATAATTGGTTGGTGAAAAGTTGTTTTGAAATGTACCTTAAAAAAGGGACCCATCATGCAAAATGCACTGTTGTACGTCTTGTATACATGAATATGTGTCCCCGGTGTTCCAGGGAACTCACCAAGTGTCAGAAAACACAACCCTCTCTATTTTCCTCCATACCCAAATCTCTAAAAAAGGGGCTGCAACGGATCTGATAAAAACTGATCCAGATTTGAACACTGTCCTGACGTCAGGACGGTGGCGCTACGGCTATTGGGCCAACTCCACCAATCAGGAGGACACAGCCACGGCCATTGCCGTTCCAAAGCGCTGGAGACGCTGTAGTACATATGCCAGGCCTGTAGGTGGTGCTGTTCTCACAGAATCAGCCCTTGCAAAAACAGGGGTAAAAAATGTCAAATAGAGTGGCGAAGTCCCTCCCCTTCCGGTTGAGCCCCATGGGACCTTATTTCGGAAAAGTTATGCATTGAAGTCAATGGAGAGAGAAAGATTATCTTTCGATCCCGTTTGAATTGTGCCACGAATTACACATATGATGTTTGTCAATTTAAAAGATAATTTTGCAAGTCGAAAAAAAAAAAATGTGTCGTAAAACTGTGAAGTAACACATTTGTTTGTGTGAAACGCTCAATGAACTACATCTCTGGTCAACCACACACGTCACCAAGATGGCCGTCACTACTGTCTTGTCAACAAACGATTGACTACCCTCACTATCACCACAATGAAACACGTCCTGAAGAATGTCATGCAAAGCTGCCTGCCTGCCTTCCTTTGATTCTCTCTGAACTGCCTGGTCGTTTTAATGTTTAATGTCAACCATTTGTGCAGATAGCATGAAGTAGAAAAGATCGCCGATGCTAACGTTAGCGTTAGCATTTCTCCCCCGGAATTAAATGGTGTATTATAGAATGATCACACCGGTGACAGTACTATTCAAAGGGTTCACGAAATATGACTACTACTCTTACTGTTTAACATTTTGGGTTACTTAATGTTACTTCATGTTAAGGCTAATAAAAATGACAAGGCTGTAATGCTAACTAACGTGCTAGCTACTAGCTAGGTAGCTAACTTGATCAAGCCACTCCTGGTCGTTTCATCAGACAGGAAGCAAAAGAACGAGCAAGACCCATTGCTGGTATAATAACAACCTGGTACTAAGCACACAGGCATCTTGTTAAAGTTATCTTATCTTAGCCAGCGCCATATAGATAGATTATATCTATATTGCGCTGATCTTAGGTATCTGAATGGTGGAGGAAAACAATTGTGACATCACTTACGCGACTCTGGGATTTGTAGTCTTTCTAGTTACGTATTTTTCATAGTCTTATATTTCAACAGTTTTACGACAAACTGTGACTTTTTTGACATGGAAATTATTTTTTAAGATTGACAAACATCATATGTGTAATTCATGGCACAATTCAAACGGGATCGAAAGATAAGTTTTCTCTCCCCATTGACTTCAATGCATAATTTTTCCGAAATAAGGTCCCATACCCCGGAAGTAAGTGGGAGGGACTTCGCCACTCTATTGAACATGGCTAAAATGCATGATCTGTTTGGTATTTTGAAAAAAAAAAGTATAAATATGCCTTATATAGGTATGATCCTACACTATATTATTATAATATAGCATGATAGGTCCACTTTAATGAACATCGTGCGATAAAACTGTTCAACTCTCACTTTGGAGATAACAGACCTTCTGATAGTCTCCTAAAGGCTGTGTTGCAAAACCAACGTGACACAGATTGAGGAAATTGAGTCTCAGTGAAACGTCTCTTTTCCAAAACACTATTGGATTACACTAATGTCCTTACAGTCACAGGGCTGCGTCCCACTGTCACCATCAATAGTCAAACTACACTTTGACTTTTGAAGAGCCCAGACAGACAAAAGGGCTGAAGCAGGAAACAGGAACTGGCACAATATTTACTATTGTGACCACCTTGCCATAGAATAGGTCATAAACTGTGTTAGTCACATAAATGGTCTTAGCAGGGACGAAACAGACGTGATACAGATTCAAGAAATCGACTGTCAGTGCGATGTCTCTTTCCTAAAACGTGCTAGTAGTACACTATAGTCCTTCCTCTAATTCTTAAAGGTCACCTATTGTGCAAAATCTACTTCTTCATGTCTCTTCTA